ACTGTAGTAGTACTGAGATGGCTGTAGTAGTACTGAGACGATTGTAGTAGTACTGAGATGACTGTAGTAGTACTGAGATGACTGTAGTAGTACTGAGAATGCTGTAGTAGTACTGAGACGACTGTAGTAGTAATGAGATGACTGTAGTAGTAATGAGATGACTGTATTAGAACTGAGATGGCTGTAGTAGTACTGAGACGACTGTAGTAGTACTGAGATGATTGTAGTAGTACTGAGATGGCTGTAGTAGTACTGAGATGGCTGTAGTAGTACTGAGATGACTGTAGTAGTACTGAGATGACTGTGGTAGTACTGAGATGACTGTAGTAGTACTGAGATGACTGTAGTAGTACTGAGATGACTGTGGTAGTACTGAGATGACTGTGGTAGTACTGAGATGACTATAGTACTGAGATGACTGTAGTAGTACTGAGATGACTGTGGTAGTACTGAGATGACTGTAGTAGTAATGAGATGACTGTAGTAGTACCGAGATGATTGTAGTAGTACTGAGATGACTGTAGTAGTACTGAGATGGCTGTAGTAGTACTGAGATGGCTTTAGTAGTACTGAGATGACTGTAGTAGTACTGAGATGACTGTAGTAGTACTGAGATGGCTGTAGTAGTACTGAGATGACTGTAGTAGTACTGAGATGACTGTAGTAGCACTGAGATGATTGTAGTAGTACTGAGACGGCTGTAGTAGTACTGAGACGACTGTAGTAGTACTGAGACGACTGTAGTAGTACTGAGATGAATGTAGTAGTACTGAGATGACTGTAGTAGTACTGAGATGGCTGTAGTAGTACTGAGACGACTGTAGTAGTATTGAGATGACTGTGGTAGTACTGAGATGGCTGTAGTAGTACTGAGATGACTGTAGTAGTACTGAGATGACTATAGTAGTACTGAGATGACTGTAGTAGTACTGAGATGGCTGTAGTAGTACTGAGATGGATGTAGTAGTACTGAGATGACTGTAGTAGTACTGAGATGACTGTAGTAGTACTGAGATGGCTGTAGTAATACTGAGATGGCTGTAGTAGTACTGAGATGACTGTAGTAGTACTGAGATGACTGTAGTAGTACTGAGATGGCTGTAGTAGTACTGAGATGGCTGTAGTAGTACTGAGATGACTGTAGTAGTACTGAGATGACTGTAGTAGTACTGAGATGGCTGTAGTAGTACTGAGATGACTGTAGTAGTACTGAGATGACTGTAGTAGTACTGAGATGGCTGTAGTAGTAATGAGATGACTGTAGTAGTACTGAGATGACTGTAGTAGTACTGAGATGGCTGTAGTAGTAATGAGATGACTGTAGTAGTACTGAGATGACTGTAGTAGTACTGAGATGACTGTAGTAGTACTGAGATGACTGTAGTAGTACTGAGATGGCTGTAGTAGTACTGAGATGACTGTAGTAGTACTGAGATGGCTGTAGTAGTACTGAGATGGCTGTAGTAGTACTGAGATGGCTGTAGTAGTACTGAGATGACTGTAGTAGTACTGAGATGGCTGTAGTAGTACTGAGATGGCTGTAGTTGTACTGAGATGGCTGTAGTAGTACTGAGATGACTGTAGTAGTACTGAGATGACTGTAGTAGTACTGAGATGGCTGTAGTAGTACTGAGATGACTGTAGTAGTACTGAGATGACTGTAGTAGTACTGAGATGGCTGTAGTAGTACTGAGATGACTGTAGTAGTACTGAGATGACTGTAGTAGTACTGAGATGGCTGTAGTAGTACTGAGATGACTGTAGTAGTACTGAGATGACTGTAGTAGTACTGAGATGACTGTAGTAGTACTGAGATGACTGTAGTAGTACTGAGATGACTGTAGTAGTACTGAGATGACTGTAGTAGTACTGAGATGGCTGTAGTAGTACTGAGATGGCTGTAGTAGTACTGAGATGACTGTAGTAGTACTGAGATGACTGTAGTAGTACTGAGATGGCTGTAGTAGTACTGAGATGACTGTAGTAGTACTGAGATGACTGTAGTAGTACTGAGATGGCTGTAGTAGTACTGAGATGACTGTAGTAGTACTGAGATGACTGTAGTAGTACTGAGATGACTGTGGTAGTACTGAGATGGCTGTAGTAGTAATGAGATGGCTGTAGTAGTACCGAGATGATTGTAGTAGTACTGAGATGACTGTAGTAGTACTGAGATGGCTGTAGTAGTACTGAGATGGCTGTAGTAGTACTGAGATGACTGTAGTAGTACTGAGATGACTGTAGTAGTACTGAGATGGCTGTAGTAGTACTGAGATGACTGTAATAGTACTGAGATGACTGTAGTAGCACTGAGATGATTGTAGTAGTACTGAGATGGCTGTAGTAGTACTGAGACGACTGTAGTAGTACTGAGATGACTGTAGTAGTACTGAGATGACTGTAGTAGTACTGAGATGACTGTAGTAGTACTGAGATGACTGTAGTAGTATTGAGATGACTGTGGTAGTACTGAGATGACTGTAGTAGTACTGAGATGGCTGTAGTAGTACTGAGATGACTGTAGTAGTACTGAGATGGCTGTAGTAGTACTGAGATGATTGTAGTAGTACAGAGATGACTGTAGTAGTACTGAGATGGCTGTAGTAGTACTGAGATGGCTGTAGTAGTACTGAGATGACTGTAGTAGTACTGAGATGGCTGTAGTAGTACTGAGATGACTGTAGTAGTACTGAGATGACTGTAGTAGTACTGAGAAGGCTGTAGTAGTACTGAGATGGCTGTAGTAGTACTGAGATGACTGTAGTAGTACTGAGATGACTGTAGTAATACTGAGATGGCTGTAGTAGTACTGAGATGACTGTAGTAGTACTGAGATGACTGTAGTAGTACTGAGATGACTGTAGTAATACTGAGATGGCTGTAGTAGTACTGAGATGGCTGTAGTAGTACTGAGATGATTGTAGTAGTACTGAGATGGCTGTAGTAGTACTGAGATGACTGTAGTAGTACTGAGATGACTGTAGTAGTACTGAGATGACTGTAGTAGTACTGAGATGGCTGTAGTAGTACTGAGATGGCTGTAGTAGTACTGAGATGACTGTAGTAGTACTGAGATGACTGTAGTAGTACTGAGATGGCTGTAGTAGTACTGAGATGACTGTAGTAGTACTGAGATGACTGTAGTAGTACTGAGATGGCTGTAGTAGTACTGAGATGATTGTAGTAGTACTGAGATGACTGTAGTAGTACTGAGATGACTGTAGTAGTACTGAGATGACTGTAGTAGCACTGAGATGATTGTAGTAGTACTGAGATGGCTGTAGTAGTACTGAGACGACTGTAGTAGTACTGAGACGACTGTAGTAGTACTGAGATGACTGTAGTAGTACTGAGATGACTGTAGTAGTACTGAGACGACTGTATTAGTACTGAGATGACTGTAGTATTACTGAGATGATTGTAGTAGTACTGAGATGACTGTAGTAGTATTGAGATGACTGTGGTAGTACTGAGATGACTGTAGTAGTACTGAGATGGCTGTAGTAGTACTGAGATGGCTGTAGTAGTACTGAGATGGCTGTAGTAGTACTGAGATGACTGTAGTAGTACTGAGATGACTGTAGTAGTACTGAGATGGCTGTAGTAGTACTGAGATGACTGTAGTAGTACTGAGATGACTGTAGTAGCACTGAGATGACTGTAGTAGTACTGAGATGGCTGTAGTAGTACTGAGATGACTGTAGTAGTACTGAGATGACTGTAGTAGTACTGAGATGACTGTAGTAGTATTGAGATGACTGTGGTAGTACTGAGATGACTGTAGTAGTACTGAGATGACTGTAGTAGTACTGAGATGACTGTGGTAGTAATGAGATGGCTGTAGTAGTACTGAGATGACTGTAGTAGTACTGAGATGACTGTAGTAGTACTGAGATGACTGTAGTAGTACTGAGATGGCTGTAGTAGTACTGAGATGGCTGTAGTAGTACTGAGATGGCTGTAGTAGTACTGAGATGACTGTAGTAGTACTGAGATGGCTGTAGTAGTACTGAGATGACTGTAGTAGTACTGAGATGGCTGTAGTAGTACTGAGATGACTGTAGTAGTACTGAGATGACTGTAGTAGCACTGAGATGACTGTAGTAGTACTGAGATGGCTGTAGTAGTACTGAGATGACTGTAGTAGTACTGAGATGACTGTAGTAGTACTGAGATGACTGTAGTAGTACTGAGATGGCTGTAGTAGTACTGAGATGGCTGTAGTAGTAATGAGATGACTGTAGTAGTACTGAGATGACTGTAGTAGTACTGAGATGACTGTAGTAGTACTTAGATGGCTGTAGTAGTACTGAGATGACTGTAGTCGTACTGAGATTATTGTAGTAGTACTGAGATGACTGTAGTAGTACTGAGATGGCTGTAGTAGTACTGAGATGACTGTAGTAGTACTGAGATGACTGTAGTAGTACTGAGATGACTGTAGTAGTACTGAGATGGCTGTAGTAGTACTGAGATGGCTGTAGTAGTACTGAGATGGCTGTAGTAGTACTGAGATGATTGTAGTAGTACTGAGATGACTGTAGTAGTACTGAGATGACTGTAGAAGTACTGAGATGGCTGTAGTAGTACTGAGATGACTGTAGTAGTACTGAGATGACTGTAGTAGTACTGAGATGACTGTAGTAGTACTGAGATGACTGTAGTAGTACTGAGATGACTGTAGTAGTACTGAGATGGCTGTAGTAGTACTGAGATGACTGTAGTAGTAATGAGATGGCTGTAGTAGTACTGAGATGACTGTAGTAGTACTGAGATGGCTGTAGTAGTACTGAGATGATTGACACACGGGCTGGTGGAGACTGAAAACTAAAACTGATAACAAAATAAAACAAGAAGAGATGAAGCTGAACCATAAACCTTTACAGAAAGAAGACCTTACAGGATTTTAGGGATTATAGTCCTAACTCTAACCTAATCTGGCTCCAGGTGGGCTAGAGAACAGGCTGCTGAAGACTTTTGCACAAGCTGGAATAACTTACCTTCCCCTCCTGAAGGTGTTCAGGTGTGAAAAAACCCTTCAGATGTGAGCTGTTGACCTGCTGATGAGAACCACCTACAACACACACACACACACACACACACACACACACACACACACACACACACACACACACACACACACACACACACACACACACACACACACACACACACACACACACACACACCTCAGTGGGGGTTGGAGGCAATAACCACAAATGTGAGGGTGGCTGGACAAATGCTGGCCACAGGTGTTATTATTGGTTATTCACTTGCTCTGTTAATGACAGCTGTTGAAAGTCTGAGCTGTATTCAAGAAACACAAACGTTAAAAACAGGGATTGAACCGGTGAGCCAACGGGAGAGCCCTGAACCTCTGCTCCACCGTAGCACACTTACATGTACTCAGAAAAAATACCTGCCGGACACGTAGCCCGCCTGTGTCAGGTGTCGGCTAACTCCATACGCCCTCACCAGTACCGAGCTGTCCACGAGCCACCGTGGCAATCTAAAAATATTTGTAGTTTCACAGCAGAAGCTTTCTGCACTACATCCGTGAGGAAGATGAAAGCGATATGTGACTAAACCGTGCTGCAAATGCAGCCCTGAGAGTAAACCTGACAACAAAAGACCAGTTTTATCATGTTTGTACCCTAAAGCTAACAGCAGGTTAGCCAAGGTGCTAGCTAGTGTTTACAACTCAGCACGCTGATGACTGGTTGGACCCAAGGGGTTTCCCAGCTGTCCACGCTCTGCAGAAAATGTATCTAAATAAATAAATTGCGGTTCTGTTTTTACTCACAGGTAAAATATACATTTTCATGCAAAGTTGTAGTTTTAAAGTGGTAAGTGAGCCAGAAAGACCCTGAGAGAGGTTTACGTGGCTGAGTGTGAGTTGTGTGGAGACCACAGGAAGACCACACCTTTATTTCAGCAGGAGCTGCTGCAACAGGGCGGGAACATTCAGTGGGGCAAAAAAGTATTTAGTCAGCCACCGATTGTACAAGTTCTCCCACTTAAAATGATGACAGAGGTCAGTAATTTACATCATAGGTACACTTCAACTGTGAGAGACAGAATGTGAAAAAAATCCATGAGTTCACATGGCAGGATTTTTAAAGAATTTATTTGTAAATCAGGGTGGAAAATAAGTATTTGGTCACTTCAAACAAGGAAAATCTCTGGCTCTCACAGACCTGTAACGTCTTCTTTAAGAAGCTTTTCTGTCCTCCACTCGTTACCTGTATTAATGGCACCTGTTTGAACTCATTATCTGTATAAAAGACACCTGTCCACAGCCTCCCCCCCGTAGGACTTCCAACTGAACAGAACTGAAGTCAAAATGGAACTGAACATAAAATGGCGTTGCCTTGTTTTTATATCTCTGAGTTGTTTTAAGTTTTAGTGAACGGGATTGGACACTTTAATTCAACAAGCCAGATTCTCTTACGGCAGCCGAAAGCTCTGATTGGTTGGAACAATGTGTCATGCGTTTCTATGGAGATGAGGGTCAGTCTGTCTGTGCAGTAGTCCTGTTTTCATTAAACACATAAATCATGACATCTTTATTCCACAGATCATTCACTTGATTATTATTGATCAACATCTGTTTCGACTAGCTTTAATCACAAATTAAGTACTTTGATTATTGAAAAGCGTTCTTCTTCTCCTTCTGGCTCTTCTCCTGGAATGTAAACAGTCTGAGGAACACCCGACCTTGGCGTTTCCTACACGGGTGTTACTGTGTACAGGGGCAGCTGTGTGGAGCTGAAAATTATGAACTTCATAACGTTACACTCCGGAATTCTCAACTGTCTCTCTCTCATTCAATAGAACTGATAAACTCTTTTTCAAGCATTTCAGATTACTCTATAAACTGGTTAAAATCCACAGTTCTACCAATTAATTTCTCTTTTGTCAATTTACTTAATACACAATTCGAGTCAGGGAATATCACATACCTGGGAATTGATATCTCTCCCAAGTTAGCAGATCTAACCAAACTAAACTACATCCCACTTTTAAAGAAAGTGGAAGATGATCTTGCAAGATTGAAATCCTTACCAATATCACTCATGGGGAGGGTTGCTACACTTAAAATGATGGTCTTACCCAGAATAAATTACTTATTCTCGATGATCCCAAACAAACCACCAGCTGACTGGTTTAAATCTCTGGACTCCTCAATTACTAAATTCCTTTGGCAGGATAAACCTCCACGAATTAGCTTAAAAACGCTTCAGAAGACCAAAGACAGAGGAGGACTAGATTTACCCAACTTTTATTATTATTTCTTAGCCAACAGGCTGCAATATACGTAAATATTGGTGGAACAGGTCCCTGACATCCCGGTGAAAATGCTGCTCATGCATCAGCGATACCAACACCTGAGGTGAGTCTGTGACTCTAGCCTGGCCTGCCAGACTCGTCCTCAGTTTAAGTCTGCACAGAGGAAGAGTCTGCTAACTCACAGGCAGAGAGGCACATGGGGCGGGACTAGCCATCTCAAACATAACCAATTATAAAACAGGTACAAACATCATTTTTTTATTTAGAAGAAAGGCTTTTAGCACTTCTACTTGTTGTTTTAAAGGCATTCAAGTCATGTAGACCAGAGGAAAGAGCCGCAGCGAACTCCGCTTCAGTCGCCATGTTTATGACAAACTCGGCGTTGTGGTGCGTGATGCACGCTGCTCAACGCTGATTGGCTCGGTTAGAATTCTCAGGGGGCGGAGCTATTTGAATAGGGGAGTTCCCAGACCCTTTCTCTGTGCAGAATTAACCAGAGGAGGAGTCTGGCAGGTCACGCTACCGTAACTCACCTTCATGCTTGCTCTGGTCTCTGATGATGTTTTCTCCAGTTTCACCAGCAGAGGGCTCCAGCTGCACACACAGAAACAACATTTACTTTTTTTTTAGGTCCTCTCTTTTCTACTACACTGCCTGACTGAAAAAAAGTCACCACCAAAACAAAGGTCACACATTCTGACCGCCGCACAAAGCCTTCTCCAGCACATCCCAGAGATTCTCAATGGGATTAAGGTCTGGACCCTGAACCTCTTTCACTATCTGAGCCCGATGAATCCTGGCATTGCCATCTTGGAATATGGCTGTGCCGTCCGGGAAGATGGAGTAACCCGGTCATTCAGGATATTCAGGTAGTCAGCTGACCTCATTCTTGGAGCACATCCTGTTGCTGAACCTAGACCTGACCAGCTGCAGCAAGCCCAGATCATAGCACTGCCCCCACAGGCTTGTACAGTAGGCACTAGGCATGATGGGTGCATCACTTCATCTGCCTCTCTTCTTACCCTGATGCACCATCACTCTGGAACAGGGTCCATCTGGACTCATCAGACCAGTTCTAAAACAGCGTTGGACAGTTGTTAACCCAGTTTTAGTCTGTGCGTCTCCTTAGATGTTTCCTCTGCTTGATGCAGATGATCTGACCTTTCTCACACAAACTAACATCTTTTCCACCACCACCAGATGTGTCTTTCCGCTTGGTTGTTTAGGAAATGAGAAGCAGCTCATTGCACCGGTTGGTTAAATAAGTTGCTGCAGCTGAAGGACAATGGCCTGACAGTAATTATCCAATGGGAGGCTCCTACCTGTCTGCTCAGGTACATCCAGGTGGAGACTTTCTCTTTGGCCAGGTGGTGTAGAATAAAGAACTGAGCATATATATTCAGATATGAACGAAACAAGATGAAACACACTGGTATCACCTTGTGTCGGCTGTGGCTTCCATCCTGTTTGTGCCCGCTCTCGGAGCTCTGACCGCTGCCGGCACTGCGACTGCTGTCAGCACTGCTCACACTGCTCCTGTCCCCTGGGAAGAGACAAACACCGACAGACAAGCAGGAGACGGCAGTGGAGAGTCAGTGTCTGTCCCGCATGAACTAAAGCGTGTAGCGAGGAATCGCAGCAGCCCGGGTCAGAAGCAGCAGCTTCCATGCAGGCACGAGTTGAGACCAACTTGAGACGACTCTTGCCGTGATTTGGTGCTGTGTGAACAAACTGAACTGAACTGAATTAAAAGGAATGTTGTGTTCTTGTGTATAAAAGAACAAAAAAACAGTTTCAGCTCTTTGCAGCAGATTCACTTTCAAACAATGTTTTTCCTATTTTTTAGAGTTTGAATAAAGAAACAAAAGCCAGAGAAAGCCCTTTAGCTCATTTATTATTTATTGCTGCTTGATTCTGTGATTTAAAACTAAAAGAGATATGTTCCTGTAGTTGACACTAGTGGTTCTCAAACGTTTACCTTAAACCCACACAGTGGCGGTGCCGGGGGTGCTAGGGGGCGCTATAGCTACCCCTGGATTAGTAATTGCACCCCCAAGTAAATTTTAGATTTTTTTTTACAATTTAATTTTAAATGAACGTGTGGATGTGATAATATTTAACATACAAAACAAACATAATCAGTAAATTATCATATAGATAGTAAAAACTTTAACCAAAACAGGAAATTGATGTTAACCTTTGACCTAATTTTCCACCTGTGAACGAGTGAAAGATAGACCTAGCGGTAAGATGGATCAATTTTTGTTGCCCACATTTCCACGGGTTCAGTCGGAAACGAATGAATGTTTGGAAGTGATCTCAGACCCACAAACACCTACGGATCTGGATGAACAGTCAACCCTCAACCGCCGCAGCAGTCCAGGGTTTAGCTGCTGAAAATGCTAACGCTAACGTTAGCTAACCTTGCAACACTATAGATGGGTTTCTGTGTGGCTGCATGTGTTTATGATTTCATGGAAAAGTCAGCGGTTGTTCATATGTTTATCATGTGTATTAATGATTGTTTCAGGTGTTGTTGAGGTGTTGTGCACGCATGTGTACCTGCTAGTGTTGAAGGTGTTTTAGAGAACAATAGGTACGCATGACCACTTCCTTCATAGCACCCTCAATAAAAAGACTAGCTCCTTCATAGCACCTGCAGAAAAACGTTTCTGGAGCCACCACTGAACCCACATGCCACCATGATGTCAGACATTAAACATTAGACTGAGTTTCTACAGGAATGATTAGCAAAGGAAGCAAAAATGTTTATGTTTATGTATCTAGCAGACGCTTTTGTCCAAAGCGACTTACAAGTGATAATCGGCATGTTGCCCTTGAGGCTAACAACAACAATAACAACAACAATAATCATGGAGAGGAGGGAACAAGGAGTGGACAGTAGAGAGGGGGGACGGGTGCAGGGAGGGTGCTAGTTTAGAAGATGCTCTCTGAAGAGCAGGGTCTTCAGGAGTTTCTTGAAAATTTAAAAGGAAGCCGCTGTTCTGGTAGTGCTTGGAAGGTCATTCCACATTTGTGGAACGATGCATGAGAAAAGTCTGGATTGTCCTGAGCGTGGTGTAGGCACTGCCAGCCGACGATCCTGGGATGACTGGAGCGGCCGGTCCGAGACGTAAGCCTTTGCAAGAGGATTCAGGTAGATGGGAGCCGTACCATCTCGGACTTTGTATGCTACTGTTAACTATTTGAATTTTATGCGTGCTGCTAGTGGTAGCCAGTGAACAGAGGGGTGACGTGTGCTCTTTTTGGCTGATTGAAGACCAGACGCGCCGCTGCGTTCTGGACCATTTGAACAGGTCTCACAGTCCAGCCTGGAAGACCAGTTAGAAGGGCATTGCAGTAATCGAGGCGGGAGATGACAGTAGATTGCACCAGGAGCTGGGTGGCATGTTGTGTTAGGTATGGTCTGATCTTTCGTATGTTATACAGCGCAAAGCGGCATGAACGAGCAACAGAGGCAACATGATCATTAAAGATCAGGTGTTCATCAATCACAACACCCAGATTTCGAACTGCCTTTGAAGGAGCCAGAGATAGGAAGTCATTCTGGATTGAGATGTTGTGCTGTATGGATGGTTTTGCTGGGATGACAAGTAGTTCAGTTTTAGAGAGGTTGAGTTGGAGATGGTGGGATTACATCCATTTAGATATGTCAGAGAGACAGTTTGATATTCGTGCAGAGACAGTGTGGTCGTCCGGTGGAAATGACAGATAGAGCTGGGTGTCATCTGCATAGCAGTGGTAGGAGAAGCCATGTGATCGAATGATCTCACCCAGTGAGGTGGTGTATATGGCAAAGGGAAGAGGTCCTAGTACAGAGCCCTGGGGGACTCCTGTGGCAAGATGGTGCATGGTAGAGGATTATCCAAGCCACGATACACTGAATGATCGTCCTGTGAGGTACGATTCAAACCAGGCGTGTGCTTTCTCTGTGATGCCCATGCTAGAGAGTGTGGACAAAAGGAAGCCATGGTTGACAGTGTCACATGCTGCCGATAAGTCGAGCAGGATAAGCACTGAGGATTTGCCTGTCGCTCTAGCTTCGTTTAAGGATTCTGTCACTGCTAACAGAGCAGTTTCAGTGGAGTAGCCCTGTTTGAACCCAGATTGGTAAGGGTCAAGCAGACAGTTTTGTGAGAGGTATTCTGTGACCTGCTTGAAAGCCACCCTTTCAATGATTCTGGACAGAAAAGGGAGGAGAGAGATAGGTCGGTAGTTCTCCACATGATTTGGAGGAAGAGATGGTTGTTTTTAGCAGCGGTTTAACCTGAGCATGCTTGAGAGAGGTGGGAAATGTACCGGATATCAGTGATGCGTTGATCACATGTGTGACTGCGGCGGCTACTGTAGGAGCAATAGCTTGGAGCAGATTAGTCGGAATGGGGTCAAGTGGGCTTGTAGTAGGGCGGCTGCACGTGAGAAGCTTGGACACACAGTTCTCAGTGAGAGGGGAAAAAGAGGAAAATGAAGCAGTAGGGCTTGAGATGGTTGGGCTAGAAGGAGTTTGTGCTAGCGAATGTTCAGGAGTGGCCAGTTGAGTAAACTGTTTGCTTATAGCTGCCACGTTGTCAGTGAAGAATGTTCATCTGTATAGTTTGAATGCTGTTTATTGTGTTTTTACAATCACAGCAACACATATTATATTTTAAATGAAGTACTCTGCAACCAAAACGATGGCGGTTGTGTAAAAATGGTGAGACAATAGAAGGAGACTAAAGAGAGGAGGTGTACTTGGCCTGCTTCTGTGTTTGCGTCTGATCAGAGAAGCCGATCTCACTCAGGTAGGCAAACGAAAGCACTCAGCTTTTGTAGAAATCTCAGGGTACTCGTTATTTCTAACGGTACTACTCAGCGCGACGCAGGGGGGTTTGGTTTTACTGCTGTGGCCACTACGCTCAGTGTTCCAATGCATCAGATACTAAATTCTTTACACGACCACACAGCAGCAAACACTGTCCAGTAAAGTCATTCATCAACTGCAGCAGCACATGTGGGCCAAACCAAAAGAGCCCTGAAAACCAGAATCTCAGAACATGAAACAGCCATACGCACAGGTAACATGACCTACGCCACACCACGCCAGCTAATCACAGCTCTGCTGCATCACGGCACGTTAGCTAATCACGGCTCTGCTGCATCACGGCACGTTAGCTAATCACGGCTCTGCTGCATCACGGCACGTTAGCTAATCACAGCTCTGCTGCATCACGGCACGTTAGCTAATCACGGCTCTGCTGCATCACGGCACGTTAGCTAAGCACGGCTCTGCTGCATCACGGCACGTTAGCTAATCACGGCTCTGCTGCATCACGGCACGTTAGCTAATCACGGCTCTGCTGCATCACTTCATGCCAGCTAATCACGGCTCTGCTGCATCACGGCACATTAGCTAATCACGGCTCTGCTGCATCACGGCACGTTAGCTAATCACGGCTCTGCTGCATCACGGCACGTTAGCTAATCACGGCTCTGCTGCATCACGGCACGTTAGCTAAGCACGGCTCTGCTGCATCATGGCACGTTAGCTAATCACGGCTCTGCTGCATCACGGCACGTTAGCTAATCACGGCTCTGCTGCATCACTTCATGCCAGCTAATCACGGCTCTGCTGCATCACGGCACATTAGCTAATCACGGCTCTGCTGCATCACGGCACGTTAGCTAATCACGGCTCTGCTGCATCACGGCACGTTAGCTAATCATGGCTCTGCTGCATCACGGCACGTTAGCTATTCACGGCTCTGCTGCATCACGCCATGCCAGCTAATCACGGCTCTGCTGCGTCACGGCACGTTAGCTAATCACGGCTCTGCTGCATCACGGCACGTTAGCTAATCACGGCTCTGCTGCATCACGGCACGTTAGCTAATCATGGCTCTGCTGCATCACGGCACGTTAGCTAATCACGGCTCTGCTGCATCACGGCACGTTAGCTAAGCACGGCTCTGCTGCATCACGGCACGTTAGCTAATCACGGCTCTGCTGCATCACGGCACGTTAGCTAATCACAGCTCTGCTGCATCACGCCACGCCAGCTAATCACAGCTCTGCTGCATCACGCCACGCCGGCTAATCACAGCTCTGCTGCATCACGGCACGTTAGCTAATCACAGCTCTGCTGCATCACGGCACACCGGCTGATCACAGTTCTGCTGCGTCACGGCACGTTAGCTAATCACGGCTCTGCTGCATCACGCCATGCCAGCTAATCATGGCTCTGCTGCGTCACGGCACGTTAGCTAAACACGGCTCTGCTGCATCACGCCATGCCAGCTAATCACGGCTCTGCTGCGTCACGGCACACCAGCTAATCACGGCTCTGCTGCATCACGCCATGCCAGCTAATCACGGCTCTGCTGCGTCACGGCACGTTAGCTAATCACGGCTCTGCTGCATCACGGCACGTTAGCTAAGCACGGCTCTGCTGCATCACGGCACGTTAGCTAATCACGGCTCTGCTGCATCACGGCACGTTAGCTAATCACAGCTCTGCTGCATCACGCCACGCCAGCTAATCACAGC